CCAGGGGCAGGGCCCGTTCTGGTTCCGATCCAGCCGGCATCTCGGCCGCTAGCCCCAGGCCCAGGGACTGGCCCCTGGGCTAACAGGATGCCTCAGGCTTTCACAGCCACCATGCTGCTGCTGCCAGAGCTCGGCTCCCAGACAGCCCCTTGACACGCCTCGGAGCTGGCTCTGTGGCTGTCCCCTGGGGCCCGATCTGGCTTTGGTGCTGCCTGATGTGGGGTTTCCTTGGGAACATGATTTCAGAGTTTGTCCTGACTCATCGTTCCACCACTCCATTCCCAAAGGCCGCTTTTTAAGACCCTTCGGCCGAGATTGACAGGCAGGGAGGAGATCCGTGCCCCGCGTGGCTGGGGGCACCAAGGGCACCCACAGACCCAGGCTTCTCGGAAACCCTGGGTGCTGAAGGGAGCTCCAGCTGGTCAGGACGTTTCTCTGAATGGCCACAGAACGGTGGGGGCTCACTCCGCCTGTCAGCTCCAAAGCGAGTACCAAGGACCCGTGGTGGACAAGGTGTGTCCCCGGCGGGCAGAGCCTTCTGTCTTCGGGTTGAGGAGCTGGCTTCTGCCCTCTGATTGAGCGCCATTGGGGTGGGAAGGTCCGTTTGGCACACGAGTAAGTGGTGTTTCTGTGGCTTCTCCTCATTCTGGGCCAGCCTCCTCTTCACCCGGGGACACCCTGAGGGCTCCAGGGCCCAGGACCCCCCTCCAGGGCAGCCCAGTCCACGCCTCCGTGGCTTCTGCTCCCACATGGGAAGCTCGGAGCTGCCAGGAACCAGCACCGTCCCCATAGGCGAGCGTTTCACAATCAAGCCACATGGGAGGGCCTCGGCTCAGGCGCATCCTGGTGACACAGGCCACTGGAGGTTTCCAGGAAGGACAGACGCCAAGAGAGCAGGAACCTCCCAAGGTGGCCGTCCACCTCCCAGACGTGTACATGGTGCGCCTTTCCCCTGGGGTCCCCAGCTGTCCTCCATCCCGCTCTGCCCCGGGGCTGCTGTCTCCTCCCCACCACAGATGTGGCCTTTTCCTTGCTGCCCACTGCGGTTAACCAGCCAGTGCTCACAAGCTGTCTCTCCCGGTGCCTGGGGCTGGGAGGCCCTCAGTGTCTGCCCTCGCGGAGTGCACGGTGGAGGGCTGGGGAGAGCGGGAGGGCTGCCTGCAGCAGGGCGCGGCGCCGTGTCAGGACCGCAGAGGCCGGGAGAGTTAGCCAGGCCGAGGGCAGGAGGGGAAGGCACCCGAGACCCTCACCCTGGCCCAGAGGAGACAGGTGACCTCTACTGTGAACCTGTAAGGCGGTTATCGCGAGCCACAGTCTGACTCACACAAAGCGCGACAGCCGATGAGGACCCTGGGGCTGACCCCGCCATAGGCAAGGGCGGGGCGTCCGTCCTGGCCGGTGAGGCCGGAGCAGCCCTGTGTCTCCCTCCCCGCCCCTCTTCTGTGCCGGCTTCTCGTTCAAAACTCTGAATTCATCAGCAAATCGTCTGCCAGGTCACCGGGCCTGCAGATGGGCTCACTTGTGTTCCGTGTCCCAACCATTGGGTTCCCCTGCTGAGATGATTACATTATGAGGCAGGATTTGAAGTTTTCCTCCTGCTGCCACCAGGTGGCCCCCAGAGCTCGCACCCCAGTAAACCCAGGGTTCCCAGGCCAGCTGCCCAGCAGGCAGCGTCTTTGCAGTCGGTTCTGTGTGTTCTCCACTCATGTTCGTTCTCTCCTGTGTGCCAGATTCCCTCGTCATCCCTTCGTCCGTTTGTGCCAGTTCTTGCCTGTGAGCCTCGGAGAGGAGGGACTTCGTGGTCTCATGTGCCTGGTGCCTGGCCCGTGGGGGCAGGTGGTTAGTTAGGGTGCAGCCCCCGACGCCCGGGGTGCAGGGGCAGGAGACGGGCTCAGGAAGTCATGGGTGTGCTCTGGAAGGCCAGATCCTGCATTCCCATGTGGGATGGGCAGGTGGCCAAGGCCAGAGCCAGGACCGTGGGACCCACAGGAGGACAGTCTTTGGTATCCTGGCAGGCCCCAGCCCTGTGCTGCGCAGGTCGTGGGGCCAGGATGCCTGCGGCCCGGCCCGTAAGATGTGGTTTTGCGCCCCGCTGCCCTCAGTTCTCCTGTTTCCCAGAAGAGTCTGGTCTCTCGTCGGGCCACTCATTTCCCTCTACGGCAGCCGCGTCCTCTCTTGCCACAGTCGAAAGAAGTGAAACTGTCCCATGAAACATGGTGGAACACCCCAAACACGTAGGGAGGGCGGGGTCTTCCCTTGCACAGCTTCAGCAGAAACTGGAGGGCCAGTCCCTCCTTCCTTCCTGCCTCTCACCTGCGTCTGGGCCCTTTGTGGGCCCAGGGTCCAGCTCCCTGGGGTGGGTGTGGACCAGGGAACATTTAGGAAGCTTCCACGTTGCGGCTGAGTTGAAAGCCACTGACCCGCAGGCGTGCACGGGAGAGGGACAGCGGTCAGAGGTGTAGGAACGCGGGGGTCATGCTCCCCGTGTGCCTGGTGCAGCCCTGAGCACGGGGACACAGAGCCCTGTAAGGTGCACACTGTCACCGTCCCCATCGATAGAGGGGACGACCGAGGCCTGGTGATGGCAGTTTGAGTGTGACGTCACATAGCTAGGAGGTGGGGCCGGCATCGAGCCCCAGCGGTCTGACCTCTCCCGCAGGTAACAACCACTCGGTACCCTCAGGCGCCCCTGAAGATGTGTAGGGTCCCGACGGGCATCAGGGACAGCCCTGAGAGGAGGGGGCACCCAGAGCTGAGCCCTGCAGGGGGAGTAGGCATTCCAGAGGGCACAGGTGTGGCTCTCTGAGCAGGATGTGGGGCGATGAGGCCCAGCAGTGGCCCGGGGCAGCGGCCTTATGCAGAGCATAGTGGGCAGGGGCACTCGGGGGGGCTCCCTGGCCGCAGCCATCGGGAGTTGCCTGGTGTGGGCAGAGCCCCCAGCTGAAGTTTCTCCAGCCCCGCTTTCCTGCTCTTTGGCGCTTCCTCCCAGGCTGCTGGGTGCCTATGAGGTCCTCACTGTCCCCACCTGTGTCCTGGCCCGTTGACTGCCCTGCTGGTCACCCCCTTCCCCCGCACACACAGTGTGGCACCACAGGGATCCTCACGGCATCCCTTGGCTACATCTCATAGGGCTCAGAGCACCCCCAGGACAAGCAGGGAGGGTGTGGCCTGGCAGGCACCGGCCAGGTCTAGGGGTGCAGGCACAGCCCCCAGCACGACACCTCGCTCTCCAGCCTGGCTACCAGCCAGCAGGACAGAGGCCTGCCTCTGCCGCTCTGGGGTGTGCGTGCACACTCACGTGCAATCTGATGCAAGACGTTAAACGTGCCAGGTGACTCCAGAGGTCAGGCCTTGTGACAGGTGGCCCATGGAGGACAGGGCCAGGTGAACTGTGGAAACCACCACGAGTTAGGAGACCCGGGTGAGCCCCAGCCTCTGACGGAGTGTGGGACCTCAGGCAGCTCACCCTCTCGGAGCCTCCATGTCAGTAGGGACTGGCAGCTGCTCTGCTCTGCACAAATATCGTTTGCTCAGAGAGCACATTCGTTGGGGAGGACGTTCAGCCGCCCCTCTTCTCCCCTGTGCCATACCCACCCACCCACCACCCAGAAAGGCTCTGACAAGTCCTGCAATGAGAAACCCTGCTGGGCCGAACACGGTAGCATCTTCTGCACCGTGGACTTGCCTGCCTGTCGGCTGCCTCTGGAGAACGTGCCTTCGGGAAATGCTGGACCCTGGGATTGCTTCCTGGAGAGGCTGGGCCTCAATGGGGAATAAAGGCTGGGGTTCCACACCCAGTTCCTTGCGTCGAGGGGCTTGGGTGAGCCTGTCAACACGCCTAGAGCTGAGCGGAGGCGGCGCTGATGTGCGAGTCACCGCCGCCATCTGGGGCGGGCATCTCGGCACTGCCATGGGGATGCTGGCACGTGCAGCCCTGCAGGGGTGGGGACAGCCAGGAACAGCTCGCAGCAGAAGGTGCCCCGTGCTGGACGGTTCATCCTACCCCTACCCTCTAGATGGGTGTTTCCATCTCGTCCCCTCAGAATCTTCCTGAGTGCATCTAGGAGGGTCGGTAGCTGACTTTGGGGTCAGCCCTGGGGACATGGTTTGTCCCAAGCTGCCTCCTTGTTGAGCTGGGCCGGGTCTCACCTCCCGGACACAGGGACTCCAGAAGTGTGCGCCCGGCCATGTTCCCACCAACGTTTCTGGGCTGCTTTCTGCAGCTACTGGAGTTTTTCGTGTCTCTCGTGCTGGATCTAAGGGTGCAGTTTGGGAATTCAGGGTTTGCTTCTGCTTTCCCGGCACACGAGGAGAGACACCGCTGCAAGTGCTTGTTGTCATTGTCACAGCAGGACTCAGACGTGCCAGCACCTGCCAGCTGCCTGGTCAAGCTCATGGCGTCCATGTGGGGTAGGGACAGGCTGTCCCTGTCCTGCAGATACACCCAGGCCCAGGGGGCTGCAGGCCTCGCCACTCAGCCACCTGCCCCCTGCCCCCCACCCTCAGCTGGTGCCACCTCACTGAACCAGACTGTCGGGATTGTCTTTTTTTTTTTTTTCTGAGAAAGTCAACCCAAAGCAGCTAAGGAAGATGGGAGCAAAACTCCACATTCCTCTCCACGGAGGCGTTTGTGTAGGCGCCTCCCGAATCGGTGTCTTCTGAGCTGCGTGTTTACCACGCTGGGCCTGTGAACTCTGCAGTGACAGAGATGGGGCCTTGTCCAGTGGGGCCACCGTGGGCTCCTGGGCAGCGGCTGAGACGCACGGAGGCGGAAAGCTGCCCCTGCCACCCTTCGCCGCCTGTGGGTTGGCCCCACGCTGAGGCTGCTGCGTCTTGCTGGGCTGCCCTGTCTAGCCTCGCTGCCATGCCCGGACTCCCCAGGAGGCCACAGTGGGTGTCCTGACCACTCGGCCACCCATGCTGGCAGTGGACGTGGCTGGATGGCATCTTGGGGCCACCTTTTCCTCTGGGGCTCACGCGGTCTCCCTTCTGTCCTCTAGCTGGTCAGCGAGAAGGTCGGAGGGGCCGAGGGGACGAAGCTGGACGATGACTTCAAAGAAATGGAGAAGGTAAGGGGTGGCCACGCTCTGCGCAGGGCGGGCAGGGGAGGGGCCTGCGCCCTGGGCTGGGAAAGCACACACACTGCCTCTCTTCACAGAAGGTGGATGTCACCAGCAAGGCGGTGACAGAAGTACTGGCCAGAACCACCGAGTACCTGCAGCCTAACCCAGGTAGGGTTGCCAGCCAGCTGCCAGGGGTCTGCCCCGACCCCTCTGGCCTCTGTGTCAGTCAGGAATGTTCCAGCTACCAGAACATGAAGAAGGAATGTGTGGGCTGGCAGAACTGGAATGCCCATGGGTAGGCAGGCTTCAGGCATGGCTGGATCCAGGGGTCCAGAGGCTGTCTGTGAGGTCATGCCCTTTCCACTTCAGCTGGCAGCTCAGCTCCCTCTGCGATGGCGTCACTCTCAGGCCAACTTGTTCCTCGTGGCAGTTCTAGCTTTAGATCACTCCTGCAGCACAGAAGGGCATCCTGCCCCCAGCTGACTCCCTGGGCTCATCCCCAGTCCGCAGAACGTGGGGCTGGGTCTCCTGGGCTGAGGGAGTTAGGCCTTTCCCAGGAGAAAACCCAAATGCTGGTTCCTTGGCAGGAGGCAACAGACATAGGGCAGGCCGCAAAACCAGCAGTGTCCACTTGCAGCCCATGGCGGGGACAGACCCAAGTGGGCAGGGGAGGGAGCACAGCTCCTCAGCCCCCCGAGGAACGAGGTCCAGGGCAGGGGAGCCCACACCTCACTCGCACCCGTGCACAGGTAGACCAGCCGCTTGTCCCCAGATGAGGGAGGGGCGGCTGCTGTCACAGCCTAGTTACAGGACGAGGAGGCCCAGGGGGAGGGGTCACTCATTTAGGAACCGGTCACCTCCCTGCCCACTGTCGGTTCTCCTTTGAGGCTGACGGGACCCTCCCCAGGGGACGTGCTTATTGCAGGCTGGCCTGGGTCAGGGTCCCTGGGCCAAGGGTGCACTTTAGAAATACCCGGCGGTGCCAACAGAGTGCAGGCCTTGCTGCCCCTTGAGTGGCCGCCACGCCCACCCTGCCCATCCTGTTCCAGCTTCGCGGGCCAAGCTGACCATGCTCAACACCGTGTCCAAGATCCGGGGCCAGGTGAAGAGCCCCGGCTACCCGCAGCCCGAGGGCCTCCTGGGCGAGTGCATGATCCGCCACGGCAAGGAGCTGGGTGGCGAGTCCAACTTCGGTGAGTGGGGCCGGCCCCGGCACTGCTCCCTGCAGGCCACGTGCCACCCCACGGGGACAGGGCGGGGGTAGTGACACCAGGGGGGTCCAGGTCCATGGCACCGTCCTGGCGCGTGTGCCGGGGATGCACGGTGGACCGCACAGCCCTCCTGTGTGTGGGGAGGAGGGGCTGCACCGACGGATCAGCCCGTGTCAGGAGAAGGTAGACATGGGGACGGGGGGATGTGGGGACCAGAGGGGCAGGGCGGTGGGTAGCGCCCCCTCCTGCAGCTACAGAATATTCTAGCATGGGTGGCTGGTTTCCCCCAGCCAAGAGCAGCTGAGGCTCCCGAAAAGGCCCTCCATACCCGCATTAGCAGGGAGGACCCGCACCGCCCCCACCTTCAGCCAATTCAGGGTGCACAAGTCCCTCGTCAGAACGTGGGGAGAGGGCAGCTTGTGTCACACCTGCCTGGGTTCAGATTTGGGGTTCTTTGTTTTGCTTTGAATTCCTGGGGGGCAGGGCTGTTTGGAAGGTGGGGAGGACCTCACTCCTGAAGGCCCCCCGTGATGGCTTCCCCCACCCCTTGTCTAGGCGACGCCCTGCTGGACGCTGGGGAGTCCATGAAGCGCCTGGCGGAGGTGAAGGACTCGCTGGACATAGAGGTCAAGCAGAACTTCATCGACCCCCTGCAGAACCTGTGTGAGAAGGACCTGAAGGAGATCCAGGTACCCCCGCCCGGCGCCAGCCCAACCACCCTGCACGGCCTTGGTCCCACGCAGACCCCCGGCGGGGGGTCCCCCAGCAGTGCGGGACAGGCCTCCCAGCGCCTGCTGGTGTGACTTGCGTCCCCCGACACCCCCAGCACCACCTGAAGAAGCTGGAGGGCCGCCGCCTGGACTTCGACTACAAGAAGAAGCGGCAGGGCAGGATCCCCGACGAGGAGCTGCGCCAGGCGCTGGAGAAGTTCGAGGAGTCCAAGGAGGTGGCGGAGACCAGCATGCACAACCTGCTGGAGACCGACGTGCGTCCCGTGGGGCCCCTGCGTCCTGCCGGGCGGGCGGGGGGGTGCCGTGGGGTCTCCTCTCGAGCCTTCTGCCCCACTCCGGCTTCAGCGTGGGTGTCAGGGAGGGTGCGGGAGGAGTGGGCGGCGGCAGCCCCTCAATCCCCGGTTGTCGCGCAGATCGAGCAGGTGAGCCAGCTCTCCGCCCTGGTGGACGCCCAGCTGGACTACCACCGGCAGGCCGTGCAGATCCTGGACGAGCTGGCCGACAAGCTCAAGCGCAGGTGAGCCCCGGCCCTGGCCAGCCTGTGCTGTGGGATCCAGACCCCTGCAAGCCAGGGTCCTCCTTCCTGCTGTGGGTCCTGGGCCGCCGTGCGCCCTCTGCCGGTGGGAGTGGGCTGTGCCCCTCCGAGGCCAGCCCTGCTTCCTGCCCCAGGCTGCTGTCCTGGTCCCTGACAGAGGAGTGGCCTGAGGACCCAGAAGTCAGAGCTCTGGGCCAACAACAACCTCGAGAGGAGGGTTTTGCTTCCTCTGCCCGAAATGCACAGCCCAGGAGGCTGCTCCTGACCACGTTCCCATCCCCTTCCTGGCCGCACCTCTCAGCCCTCAGCACAGTCCTGCACTCAGCCCGTGCCCGGGGCCTGGCATGTTGGGCACCTGCCCTCTGGGCTGCTGAGGGGGCGCGGGGGTTTGTGCCATCTGTCGGCAGGAATGCCCAAGGCGAGGGGACCATACCATGCCAGATCCAGCCACGGCCAGGGTCCCGGGTCCCCTCTGACAGACCTTTCCCACGGGGCTGGGCTGAGTGAGTCCTTGGGCAGCAGCGTAGACACGGGTCGCGCCTTGGCGCTGGGGTGCTCGGGGCGATCACACTCTCCCCTCCCAGGATGCGCGACGCCTCCTCACGCCCCAAGCGGGAATACAAGCCCAAGCCCCGGGAGCCCTTTGACCTAGGGGAGCCGGAGCAGTCCAATGGGGGCTTCCCCTGCGCCCCAGCCCCCAAGATCACAGGTAAGGGGTCGTTTCCTGGAGGCGGGAACACCAGGGGACAGGAGAGTCTCTGCCGGCCAGGGGGCGGCACTGGCCCCACCCCATGCTCAGCTGGCCTCCATGTTTGTCCACGAGCAGCTTCTTCATCGTTCCGATCTTCCGACAAGCCCGTCCGGACCCCCAGCAGGAGTATGCGTGAGTGCCCCCAGGGCCCTGCCCTCGCTCGCTGCTGGCCCCATGGCCACCCTCAGTCTACAGGGCTGCCTTCTTGTCTGTTCTGTAAAGGCCTTCCTCCTCCCCTCAGTGTCACAGGCTGTCTGTCCCAGTGGCAGGGGGTGGCACAGGCCACAGGGTGCATACCCCACCCACCAATGCAGAGCTGTGACACCCCTGCTGCCGTGAGCACCAAGGGCTCCGGCCCGGCGGTTATAGGGGCATCTGCCCATTCTCTACCCAGCACTGCCCACTCATGAAGCCCTTTCCATCCTTCCCGACCACCCTGAGCAGAGGCCGGGTATGCAGCCCCCACCTCACCCGGGGCCCATGACAGACGTGCCCCCTCACGCCCCTCCCCCAGCGCCCCTAGACCAGCCGAGCTGCAAGGCGCTGTATGACTTCGAGCCAGAGAACGACGGGGAGCTGGGCTTCCGCGAGGGCGACGTCATCACGCTGACCAACCAGATCGACGAGAACTGGTACGAGGGCATGCTGGACGGCCAGTCGGGCTTCTTCCCCCTCAGCTACGTGGAGGTGCTGGTGCCCCTGCCTCAGTGACCCGCCTGCGTTCCACGTGCCCCTGCGGCCTGCGGGGGCTCCGGGCCCCTCGGTACTCCCTGAGCAGGGCCTGGCACCTGGGGTGGGCCCGTTTACACTAGCGCTCGCCCCTGTGCGGGGTGGCAGCTCCCCGCGTGGGCAGCTGTCCTTCCTGCTCACACTAAGGTGCTCTTAGAAACACTAACGTTCCTGGGCGGACCCTCCCCACGCCTCCGTCCTGACTGCCCTGGGGCCCAGCCCCTTTGACACCCCCTCGCAGCCCGTTGCTGGCGATGGGCCTCGGCCCCCACTCCGGGGCTCCCCGGCTGTCCCCCAGCCTCGCACACGTGCCACTTCCCCCCAGAGTGAGGGGCAGGGCCTCACGGCTCCCCCAGCCAGCTGTCAGCTTGCAGCTGGGGACAGAGACCAGCTGGGGTCCCCAGGGGCTGCCCTGCCCGAGGACACGCCCTCTGCCAGGAGCCTCGGTGCCCCGCCCCGCCCCCACAAGGCCGAGTACCTTTCCAGCTTTTTAACTGCCCCAGCCAAGCACAGGGAGGTGTGTCTCACCCTCTGGCACAAGATGCCGCCACCAGCTGCACCCACACGCCCCCAACACCGCTCGCACGGGACCACAGGGCCCCCAGTCCCCCCAGCCTTAGGCTCAAGCACAAAGGCTCTGATGAGAGAATGTTCCTGGACCCCTGGCTGCTGGGCCCCTTCCTGAGCCTGCACCCTCCGCCCTGTGGGAAGCGTCCCAGCCATCTCTATGCCGAGGCGCAGCCCTCGGGGTCCCTGAGACCCTGCCCAGACCAGCAGGGCCCCAGCCTGGCATCCACTTCCCCTGTGGCCTAACCCAAAAACCAGCCAAACTGGGGTCGGGGGGGGCCTCTGGGCCTGACTGCGTTCACATTCCCCTCCCTGCATCCCCCTCCTCACCATTACTTCGGGGGACGCAGATGCCTCAGCTGAGATGACCAGTATAGCCTTGGCCGTGGTCTAGGGCAGCTCCAAATGTACTCCTGATTTTTTAAGAAAAGAAGTTATTAAATGTCTCTTTCTACAGCCCTGGCCTCGTCTTGGTGCAGGGTGGGCCTCCTCTCCCAGACACCCTCGTGCCAGCCACCCCGAGGGTCAGCCCGGTGGCACCCCACCTCCAGGCCCCCACAGAGAGCCTGGTCACCGGTGGGAGCAGTTTGGCCCCGAGAGGCGGCTCCCCGTGGCCTCACACGCTGCGGGGGCTGCAGGTCACGCTCAAGGCCACACCTGGAGGGGGCAGGAGGCGGCCCCTGTGCCTGTGGGGCCGCAGAATGGAGGAAGCAGGGGTGACGGTCACCTCACCCAGGGAAACGAGCTCACCAGCGGGTTGCTGCTCTCCTTCCTTTATTGTCGGAGCCTCCGCTAAGTCACTCAGTGACAGAGCAACGGCGAAGCCCGGAACAGTCACCCAGAGCCGCTGGGGCCCTCAGCTGCCCTGCTTGAGGGCGCTGTACACCTGCTCCAGCACGTGGCACAGACCCTGGTCCTTGGGCGTCCTGCTGGCCAAGGAGATCTGAAAGGAGCGAGAGCGGGTGCCTCAGGGCTGCGCGCCAGGGGTCCCGCCTCTCAGAGGCCACCGCGCCACGGCAGCAGCCTGGCAGAGGGCACGCCCCAGCCCAGGCCCGGGTGGCATTCCTGGCTCGGCCTGCTCAACCAGAGGAGCGTTGCGTGACCAGGACCGGCTGGCTGGCGGTGGAATGCAGGGCGCTCTGAGTGGAGGGCGTGGGGCTTATCTGCACATTCCAGATGCCACCTCCCTGCCTGGGTCTTGGTCACCCATGGGCACGCTGGGGCCTCGGGAGTCAGTGGTCACCAGCCCAGCCAAAGTCTGAACACAGGGAGCCAGTGTAGGAAGGTGTCCTACGCATAGTGGAGTAAAGTGTTTTCTGAGGATGACTTTCAAACAGGAAATTAAAAAGACACACTCAGAAGGCGGCCAAGTCCTTACATAAACGTCCCCCAAGCGCGGGGCCGGCCAGCTACAGGGCAGCAGTTCACAGGACCCGCCCGAGCATGAGGCTCCAGAACCCAGTTGGAACCCAGCCCACACGCTCTGGGCGGCCCTGGTGTGAAGTAGGGTCAGGTCACCATAGTGACTGTCTCTTGGGCTGCCCTGGGTGTGTTCCCAGTGACCTCTCAGGAGGAGACCCTCACCTTGAGCTTGTCGAGGTAGGTGTGCTCCTGGTCCCAGGGCTCCTGGAACCTCACCAGGTCAGGGGCGCCCTTGTAGAACTCCACCAGCAGCATCTGCAGGACAGGGCAGACGGGACACGTGACCCAAGTCACCAATAAGTAAACGACACAGGAGAGCATGAGCAAGCGCAGCAGCAGGAGGGCTCCCTGGAGGGAAGGCAGCAGTACTGCCTGGGCTGCCACGCACAGCCCACCTAGACCCGTGCTCCCTGGACACGGTTCTCTGCCCAGGCCTGACAAGGCCCCGGGTCTAGCCTCGTCCTGAGCAGCGACACCCGTGAGTCACAGGTTCAGTGAACTAGTTCAGCGTTCTCAAGAGCACGTTGAACACACAGGTATTAGAAATATGTCCATCCGGGTACCGACAAGTCCCCTGGAACTCCGCCCCTCAGAATCGGTGGCAAGTGCAGAGGCCTGACAACAGGGGGACGGGGTCAGAGACTAAGGGGAGCCCAACAAGCCCAGCTGGGCGCCTGCAGTGCGCCCCGCCCGGGGGTGAGCTCACCATCTCGTGGAGGATGTCGTTAGTCAGGAAGCTGTCCTGGACGTAGGCCATCTCCACGTCCATGGGGATGCCGTAGTCACTCGGCCTTTGCTGGCAGGGACACGGGCTGGTCAGAGAGGCCCCCCAGGCCCCAGCCCGTGGCGGGAGGGGACGGGCTGGGTGGGGATCGCCCTGGCTGGGAATCGGAGAACTCACTCCGGGCCTGACTCCGCCTGGATCGGTGGTTGAGGGAGAACCCGGTGGTGCAGCTAGGGAGGCAGGGGTGGCATCCCCCCAGCAAGAGAGGCCCCAAGATTTCTTCCCAAAGCTGACCTAATCCTAACCCTAACCCAGGGCAGACATGGGAGGAAGCAGGGCAGGTTTGGGAAGGGAGCCATCCTGGTACCTGGCAGGTATGCCCAGAGGCCCTGCGCCCGGCCCGCCCCGACGGAACCCAGAACCAGGGTACCCTGCCTTGGCACATCTGCCCAGAGGCCCCCGCCACACCCCCAGCCTCGCCAGCCCCCGGGCAACCCCGCCTACCTCGGGAGGAGGCATCACCCAGAAGGGCGCGATCTTGGACTCGGGGCCCAGGTTGCCGGAGTAGTAAGGGGCTGGCGGGGCAGAGGGAGAGAGGGCTGGGCCTGGGGGGCTCCGCCAGCCTAGCTCCCCGCTCCGCCCCTGCCCCGCCCGCTGCGCCCGCGCGGGTCTCACAGCAGAGCAGCGCGAGGCAGGGCTGGAAGCCGTTGCTGGAGCCCTGCAGCCGCAGCTGGTAGTCCATCTGCGCGTCGATGTCCTGCAGCGACGGCAGCGCCGGGCCGTGCGGGTGGCTGTGGTACCAGCCAACCAGGGACAGGCCACGCAGGAACAGGCTCTGGGAGATCTGGGGACAGAGGCGCGGCCGGGGGGCGCTGGGGGCTTGAGCGGCCCTGGTGGACTCACAGGTGCAGCCAGCCCGCAAGGAGCACCTGCTGTGCCAGGCCTGGGGACGCCGGTGCACAGCAGTGCCCGAGACAGACCCTGCCCGCTGTCACCAAGTGCAGCGTGAGGCGGAGGAGCCACCTACAGACACAGCCACAGAAAGATGCACCCTGCCACCGAGCAAGGGCAGGAAGGTCGTCACGTCCACCTGCCGCATCCCCGGCTCCGGGAACACGGCCAGCACACAGTAGGTGCTCAGTGAATAGCTGGACTGCCGCGCATGTGAGCACGAGGGGCCACTGCTGGGTGTCCTGAGCAAGTAGAGGCGAAGACACACGGAGAGGTGGACAGACTGCGCCGAACGGACACCCACTCACCCGCCCCGCGAGGGACGCTGTGACGTTGCTGAGCGCAGCGCCAGGCGCGTGCTACGCACCACCATAAACACGTAAGAATGGCGGCTGGCACGTGTCACGCCTTCACCAGGTGCCGGGCGTGGCGCTGAGCTTTGAGCCTCGAATTTTACTGAGGACGAGTCGGAGGTGCGGAGAGGGGAGGGGCTGGCAGGGTTTGCAGAGCGAGCTCCAGGGCCGGGCGACCCAAAAGCAGAGCCACTGACCCTTAAGCCTAGTCCCAGGCGCGGCGACAGGCACACACTCACACTCACCCACACTCCTGCTGGGTGCTGGCACCAGGCCAGCACAACTGTCCCTCCCCACGACGCCCCCTCCAGGCAGCCCCTCACCTCCTCCTCGATGGCGGCTGCGGTGTCAGCATCCCCGAGCCGGCTGCGACAGGGGAAGGCTCGCAGCACGCTGAGCGCTGCGGGGGAGAAGCGGCCATGGGCCCTGGCCCCAAACGCCCCCCTGCCCACCCAGCCCAGATACCCACTCTGGCTGTTGATGTCCCAGCGGCCCCCCAGGTAACCCACGACCTCGCTCCGCGTCAGGTGACTGTGGAAGTCCTGGGGAGAGGAGGGGTGTCGGGACAGGGCTCAGGCAAGTCCCCACTCTCACAGAGCTGGCATCCTGGGGACCCCCCACCCCTTCCCTGGCACCCCAGGCCCGGAGCCCCGCGCCCCTGGACAGGGTGGGGCTTGGCCACGCACCAGCAGGAACAGCACGTTGCTAGAGACGGCCACGTTGAACGGCTGGAACTTGTTGATCGCCGCGAAGGACGTTACTTCCACCAGGGTGTGGGGGTTCCTGTGGGAGCCAGGAGGGTCCCGCAGCCTCAGGAACCCGCCAACCAGCTCCCCCGACCCCGGCAAGAGCTCCAGGCGTGCTGGGCCAGGGCGGGGGGCCTGGGGCGCAACTGACCTGGCGGAGTCGCGACTCCCCAACATGCAGTAGCGGACGGGCACGCGGATTTTGTTTTCCACCCGCTTCCCCGAGGGCACGGCCTCTGTGGTGGGCGTGGGAGAGGAAAAAGGGCAGCGTCAGTCCCTCCCCAGCCCACACTGGAAGGCGAAGCAGAGGCAGCCCTCAAAATCAGGTGGCGAGCGAACAACTCGGACAGAGGAGATCGAAAACAAAATTAGATGAGGAACTCAGGAAACCACGTCATGGGGCACCAGAGTCAGGCAGCAGGGCCAGGAAATCAGGGGTGTGCTTTAGGGATCAGGCGACGGGACAAAGAAATCCCAGGGAGGAGCAAAAAATCAGGCAGCACCTAAAAAACAGCAGTGGGACCGAGAAACCCAGCACTGGAGCTTGAGAAGTTAGGCAGTGAGAGAAATCAGGCGGCGGGCAGGGCTGGGAAGGCAGCCAGGCACCTCACGGGGGGCCAGGAAGGATAAAGGCCTGACCTCTCCCCAGCCCCCTCCCGGCCCCCACGCCTGTCACCTGGGTGGGCAGGTTCTGAGGGGCCCTTCCCCAGGGGCCTCCGACTCTTGTCCTCCGCCGAGACCCCCGCCAGAACCTCCTCTTCCTCCTCCTCCATCAGCAGCTCCTCCTCCTCCCCTTCGCTGGCTGGGCTCTGGAGGGGCGGGGATGGGGAGTGGCAAAGGGACCCTCAGCTGGGTGCCCCCACCCTCCCCACCAAGCCCCACTGCAGACCTGGGGCCTAAGCCTTAGGTGGCATTGCCCCAGGTGGCCACTAGAGGGAGGGCGAGAGCAGAGGGTCCCGGACTCCGCGCTGCTCCCTGAGCGCCCTCCTGTCATCAGGTTCGAATCCCACCTGTGTCTCCCAGAAGCTGTGCTACCTCAGGCAAGCCCCCTAACCTCTCTGAGCTCTAGTCTCATTTTTGGAATGGCACAGTGACTTCTAGTCCCGTAGGGGTGGCCACAGGATGAAATAATACAATGCGTGCTCCATTCCTTGAGCAAGCGAGCCCTTCACATGGATTAATTTAACTTCCCTTAATAACCTCCCCTCCCACTTTGTCCTAAACTGCCCCTGGGTGGGGGATGACCTCTCTGGGTTCAAACCCAAGGGTCATACCTCAGTCCCTGTCCTCACTCTCTTGGCAGTGTCCGATTAGGCCGATCTTCCCTCCTCCTGAGAACACAGCCCTGGCCCGGCTTCCCTCCCAGCTCTCTGGGACGCCCCTCGGCCTCCCCCTCTCTCTGTCGCTGGTCCAGGGTCCTTAGCCTCCTCCTTCCTCCACCCACACCCCTCCGGGGCAGCCGTGTCCAAACCCCAGCGACACCCACAGAACTGTCTCCAACCCGGGGCCTCTTCCAGCTCAGACGTGGGGCCAGCTGCCCTCGATGTCTCCACACGGGGGGTCACACAATACGGCCACGCTGGGCCCCACCACACCCCCAAATGTGCTCTTCTCACCTCCCCCCACTTTGGCTGGAGGCACCTCCATCTTGCTCAGGACCCCCTAATCTCTTCACCCCAACATGTGACCCATCAGCAAATCCTGACAGAGCCAAAAGACCTGGAACCCGGGGCCACTTCTTCCTCTCTCAGTAGCCAGCTGGGCCCACCCCATCATCCCTCACCTGGACCAGTACGCACCCCCTACCCATCCAGTCCCTGCCCCTGAGGTCTGTCCTCCCCATGGCAGCCACCAGAGGGCGCCTGTGAGCACCTGAGTCAGGGTCAGTCCCTCCTCTGCCCACAGCCCTCCATGGCTCCTGAAGGTTGGGGGGGGCGGAGGTCAAAGCCCAAGTCCTCCCTGCAGCCCACCAGGTGCTGCACAACCTGCCCTGCCCCCTCCCCACCCTCCCCTCCTCCTCCCTGTCTCCCCCTCCTCACTCTGCTCCAGCCACACGGGCCCCCTCACTGTGAGTCCAACACACCAGGCATGGCCCTGCCCCAGGGCCTTTGCACAAGCTGTTTCCAGATATCCTCATAGCTCCCTCCCTTCCCTCCTTCAGTTCTCTGCCCAGATGTCACCTTCTCAGTGAGGCCTTCCCTTCCCTGGCCACCACCCCCAACTCCCACCCCCTTCCCAGTTCATGTCTTCTGACATACTACAAAACACATTTTTTTGTCTATCTCCACAAGAGCAGAGATATTCCACTTTTTTGCTCCCTGCTTTATAGCCAGTGCCTAAAACAGGGCGTTGCACACAGTCAGCACTTACTGAATACTTGCTCAATGAAGAGTTGTACGTGTCCACTTGGTTAGGCCACGGCACCCAGTTATTTAATCAAACGCTAACCTAGGCGTTGCCGGGAAGGCATGTGGTAAAGATGATTCCCGTCTACAGTAAGGTGACTTTGAGTCAGGAGATTACCCTTGATGCTAAGGGTGGGCCTCATCTAATCACTCGAAAGCCTTAAGCACAAAAACTGAATTTTCCTAGGAAAGAAGGAATTCGACCTCGAGACTGTAGCAGCCTCTTCTGCTTGAGTTTCCAGCCTGCCCTGCACATCTCAGACATGGGTCCTGTTACCATCTCCATTTTATTCACCTAGCTAGTGAATACTCAAGGAACATCTGTTATTAATCCTGTGGCATTTGAGGCCATCTAAGATCTAGTCCCTGCCAACATCTCCAGCCTCCTCAGCCACCAGTAATACCAGTATGTGTTGCTTCACACCTACGTGGCTTTGCATATGCCAGTCCATCCCTCTAGAAAGCCCTTCCCTTCGTCTTGCTCTGACAAACTCCTACTCATCCCTCAAAGCCCCAGCTCCAATGGCCCCTCTCTCTGGCCCAGCCCTGGAGGAGCTGTGTCCAGCTGGGAAACCCCTCATCCAACAGTGAGTTGGGACAGCTTCCGGCAGGAGGCTGAAGGACGTACCTCGTCAGCAGCAGCCGTGGGCATGTGCAGCTGGTGCCGCCGCAGCCACGCGGCCTTGTACTTGTCCAGTTTCTGGCCCTTGTACTTGACAGAGGCCCAGCCGCAGCCCGACTTCTTGGCGGGGTTCACGAGCTTCTTGCAGTGGGTGGCCCAGGCGCTGGGTGAGTTGAAGACCTGGCCGGTTTCCTGCCACACGATCCTCCCATCTGGCTGCAGGTCGCCCATGAACTTCTTCCCCTGCGGCAACGGTGGGCTGGCTGGGCCCGGGACCTGGCACCCACCAAGACCTCTCTTCCCGGAAGTCCCTCCAGACCTGATGCTCCCTGAGGCTTGGCACCCACGTGCCACCATAGCACCCCTTCCAGAAAAACCCATCCCAGGCCAGCTTCTCACACACCTGACCAGCCTGCTCTGAAACTGCCTGGCACGCATCTGCACGCCCCCTACCCCACTGGACTGTGAGTCCCCTAAGGGTGGGGACAGGGTCTGCCCAGATTACAGTTGTGTCTCCAACACTCAGCAGGTGCACGACTCACAAACTGCTCCCGACGCAAATTGAATAAGGACAGTAACGGTAGAAACGGCAAACGCTTATAAAGCAGGCACCCCGCCGAGCGCTTTATGCATTTAATCTTCACATGGGAGGAAAATATTCCATTTTACAAAAGGGGAAACCACGGCACAGAGAGGTTGAGCGAGGTCACACAGCCAGGAAGGCGGCTGACCCTCTGCAGGTGACAGCTTCACTCTGAAGCTCAGTTTCCCCTTTGTGGAATAGGGAGTTAGGTGAACTACGTCCTCCGGCCCAGAAGGGGTCGTGGTCTGGATGCTCCGTACCTCAGTTTCCCCTCCCCACACCGGAGCTCGTCTTGTAGCGAGGGAGCTCTGGGCCTCAGTTTACCCTTCTTAGCCCGAGCCGGGGTGGGGGGCGGAAGGGGGTGCTCACCAGGTAGTAGATGGACAGCACCCCGGCGCCGGGCTCCAGCAGCGCGTCCTTGAGGAGCACCCGCAGCGTGACCGC